GATAGTTTTCTTTCCAAACTCTATTCCTTCCTCTCTCCTTGCTACCCTGCCCTTTTCCATAGATCAGGAAGATTCCTAGGAATGGTAGTGCCTTAGACTGGGGGACAAGCAGGAATTCTGGGAAGAAAGCCACCCAGGGATCCTAGTGTGCTCTGGGAATGCAGTGAGGTGAGCACTTTGGAGGTGACCCCTCAGAATCCAAAGAAAAACTGCCCTCATCCTCCCCACCTAGAAAAATTGCAACTCACAAATCATACTCTTAGCTCTGCCCTTTCTATATGATGCCATTCCTTCTGCGAGACTGTTCTGGTCTCCATATCCTATATTGTCTGATGAAAGAGGTGGTAAAAAGTATAGCAAATAGACTAACTGTTAAGGGGAGGTACCATTTTCCTGCCCCCACTTATATGCAGGGGCCTTGGGCTGCAGGTCTCAGGGTGCCATGAACCAGACGTCCTGAGTGGGAGATCTACTGGGAGCTGTGGACCTACCTGAGTGGCCAGGTGATGCTTATACAACAAGGAAGGCAGGTGGGCTCTGGGGACCTCTTGCTTTTCTGCCTTTGGCTTGTGTCCAAGGACTTGAAGAAGGGTCATGGATGGAGCTATGTAGAGGGGAGACATGTAGAGACACTGGGAAGAGACATGTGGGTAGGAGACCCGTGGGGAGGTTGCTCCTGGTTCTCGCCAGAGACAGTGGCAGCCCTTGTCCTGACTTCACAGTGGATTATATTCAGTACATTTTAAACTCTGAATCACTTGTTTGAGTCTAGCTCTCTGACACCTGCTTAAGTCCCTTCTTTTGGCTTCCTGCCAGAAGGTACCTTTGACCTGGGGCAAGTTTTTGGGCCTAGTGGTCCCACTTCAGGCTGACCCTGTTTCACTAGGCATTTGCTCACAAAGGGATGGGTAATTTGGGGGGGGTGGTTATTGGAAAACTGTTATTAGGAATATCTTTTCTCTTTATATGCACACCAGTTGTATTCAAGATATCTCACATGAGGAATCAGCTTCCTTTGTCTTTGTGTGCACGGATGACCGGACCTCTTTAGAGCTCGCACCCTTAAGTTTGGGGTCTCTGGATGCCTCTGGTTATACACTAACATTACAATTTCCAACACCCAACCAAAGGGGGCAGGTAGCAAAATAAAACTATCCTTGTTAAAATAAGATTTTTGCAGGTAAAATTTCAGTCAGCCACCAGAGGGTGCCCACTGAACTCTCTGAAAATGATCAAAACCTGAAGAACTAGAGGGAAAAGAAAATTTCCAGTGCACGTTAAAACCAAAACAACATATTGTTGGCCTATACCTGACTTGAGCAGATGCATGGGTCAGCAAAGCAACTGTGAGTTTGCAGGGGACAAGAACCAGGGTGGAAATGATAAAAATTAGCTGAATTTTAGCTAAAACATTTGCTCCTTGATTTTAAACTGGCAATTGCAGTAGCACTTTGAGAATCTGTCCTGGGCTCATTTTCATTCCCTGGCAAAATTTCCTTCCCCACCCTTTCCCAATCATATGTACAAAGAAAATGCAAATACATATAAATATTAGTCTAAGCCAAAGACTTCATAGACGTTAAGGCTGCTGCTACTGCTGCTTAAAGCAAAAACAAAAACAAAAACAAAAACAAAAAAACCCAAAACAAACAAACAAAAAAAAAAACCCACACTCGAGCATGCACACACACACACGCACACACACAAAATACAAAAAACCCAAAAACCTATTGAAAGGACAGAGATTTTTCTGATCTGCTGCTCCTGAGCTAGAGTGAAGCCTCAGAGAGAAGAGAGAAACCATTGTTTTCTGAAGAGTCCGCCTTGAGTGGAGCTTGCCTGGAAAGAGAGGTGCAGAGATCCCCAGCCTGGCCAGCAGGCTGTCTGGCATCCCTGTCACTCCAGGGCCTTATGCAGTGACTAACACATAGTAGGTGCTTGTAACTGTTTTTTGAATGAATGAATGAAAGTAAGCTGGAGTGGGTGGCAGACTGTCTTGACTGCTGGAGCTTTTCACCGGTGTGAAGGGGAATTGGGAAAGAGGTGAGTGGGGATAGAAGGGTGATTTTTTGAGGAGGGAGTTTCTGGGTTCTATTGGATTGCCTCTGCCTCAGGCCTTTTCTGTGGCTGTCCAAGACTCCAAAACAAACTGTTTTAATGATGTCCTAATACTGGTCAAACTGCCCAGTGGTCCCAATCATTCATACCATTGGTTTACTCTTTCAGTTACTGAGGACCCAGCCTCCCTTGGCCATTCTTTGGTGAACTGGGGGTATAAATGTTCAAAGACGTGAGCATATTACGAATATGAGCCAGGAACTTTGGCTCTCTGGGAAATTTAGCCATCATGGAACTGAGCACTGGTTGCTGGGCAATTGGGTCACTGATCCCTCTGGACAAGAGCAGGCAATATGTGTGTATGTGCTCTATGTGTGTGCCTGTGCGTGTACGAGTGTGTGTGCATCTCTGTGCCTATGTACTCCTGAGTGCAATTTGCACCAATGCATTGCTCTTGCATGGGAATCTACCATTTACAGTTTCTTTTGATTGTATCCCAGGCCTCTTGCTGGTACATAAAAGAAGAGAGGAGGTGATTAATATTTAAATTTAGAAACAGAACAGAAGTTGTAGTTTGGGAGGAGAAATTATTTTGTTTAAGTTTCTGCAGTTCCAATTTGTCACAGAAGGATTTCTGATGTCCATGTCTTGCAAGGGTATAAAGAGGTCTCTACACATGCTTTCTTTCCAGTACTTCTCCTTTGGGGAGGTTTTCATCATAATTTGGGGGGCCTTCAGATGAGCTGGGATGGCTGCCTGACTTGGAAGAAAGAGACTGGTTTTAGGAATTGTCCTGTCTCCTTGTCCAGGGCTGAGCTGTCCATCTGGCCAGCTCCGTGGGAGCTACAGACTGAAGGTGCTTCTAGGGCAGTTTGCAAATCTCATAGTGATGAGATGATGATGATTTCTGGTCCTGCTCTGTACCCTGGTCTGGCAAGGTTCCCCACACTTCATGAGTTCTGTGATGACATAGGTTGGGTTTTCTAGTTCCTTGTTATTTTTTATCTTCAACAGGTTGCAGGATAGCCATGTTTCTGTATCTTATAAGGCTATTCATCAATGGATTTAAGGCCTAATTTCACCCAGGAAATTCTCATCTAAGAATGTTTACTTTAGTTGCATCTGTGAAGGCCCTATTCCTAATGTTATATTCTGAGGTGTTAGATGGATGTATCTTTCAGGGGAAACTGTCTACAAGGCATGAATGCATTTATCCTTGGATTGCTCAAATGGTAGATCATGCATGCTTAATAAGCAACAAAGCAGGGCACACAAACAGAGAGAGGTATTGATTTTGTTTAAAGATTTATTTATGCATACAAGAACTGGGGTGTAGGCTAGAGGTGCAGGGGGTGAAAGGATTCACCAGAGACAGAGTAGGGAGCAGAGCAGGTGGATTGACTGAAATACACTGCTGAGGGGAGCAGCAGATGAGACAGGAGAGGTCTACTGTGCCATGTGGACCAGCTCCCTGGCCTGGAATCGAACTGCCGATAGCCTCAGAGTGCTGAGACTTAACCCCTTGTGCCACCAGGGAGGCCCCGAGAGGTATTGATTTTTTATTTTTTTAAAGAAGTATATATTTTTTAAAAAATGAAGTCCAAAAATGTTGGAGAAATTAATATTTTAGGATTTTTAAATCCTAATTTCATATTGAAGTAGGAGAAATAAATCATACTTTCTGTGCTTGGGTCTCTAAAGATGTTAATCAATGTAGTTAGTGAATTATAAATAATTCAGTATGGTTGGGAAAGTAGAATGTAGGAGAATCTCTTTTGTTGCTGTTGTTGCTTTTAATTTGTTTTATGTGTTGCGATTCTTGAGGTCACTGGTGACCTCAACAGTAATAATCACCACATTATTAATATCAATGGGACGGGGCTGAGGATTAATGGAGGTGAACCGATTATTAGTATGGCTATCTATTGCAAAAGCTTGATTAAAAGTGAAGTGAAAAGAGATTTGGGAATTCTGAGATGTGTCTTTGACCTCAAAAAGTTGATTAATAATCTGTCGTTTGTGTTTGAATTAGCTTTAACCCCTGTCAGAACGTCTTAGGGATAGTGTCTGCAGATGATGTCTCTGAAACTGTGCAAACTGCCATTGCTAACCAGGCCCAAAGCCTTCCCACAGGTGCCTTCATTCCGTGGGTGAAAAACAGCACCTTGCCACCATGTTCACCTGATTACTTGACACAGAACAATCCTAGTAACCTGTGACCTGTGTGACCTGCCAATGCCTGCACCATCTTTTGTACAAGAAGGACATCATGCCTGGATGTCCTTCTTTGATTACCTATTTATCTTTCAAAGCTCAATTAGAATATTCCTTATTTGTTCTATTGTTTCTCATGAAGTTGCACTTTCGTTAAAATTCCCACAGCATCTTAATTATATACATATCACATATCACTATGGGATGCCATAATTTTTTGCCTCTTCCATTAAATCATTAAGATCAGGATCCCTGTCCTTCTTCTTTCTAGTCCTCAGCTGCTCACACACTACTGGGTATTTAGTATGAGCTCAATTAATGTTTATGGAATAAATGAGTTTGCAGTCAATAGAATACTATCCACACACTATGTATGTGGGGGAGGGGGATGTGCACCAAAGGAGGCCAGCTAGGAGAATGAAAGAAGGAGCGGATACTTATCAGTATACTTATCAGTATCCGTACCCAATTCCATTACTACTTGAATCCAGGTTCTGTGGAGGTGCTTCCAAACTCTTCCAAACACCCATGCCTTAGATGAAACGAAGCCTTCCCAGCCCAGGGCTGGGCAAGATTGGACTAAAAGGAGTCACATTCCTCTTATCAGTGATACATTCTGGAATAGATATGTCTCCAGTTCTGGCCTATGAGAAAAAGGATACTTCTGAGGAGTGTTTCCTTGCTTCTAAGAAGAGAAAGTAAAGAGATACTTGTTTCTTCTTTCTCAGATTGTTGTCATATCTGGAGAAGGCACCTGGAAAACATCCTGACATCAGCCTGAGAAGGGACCCAGTGTCCAAGGATGGCAGGACAATGGTAAGAATGTGGCTCTGTAATGACTAGGCTGGGCCACTGAAATGCCTACCAGCTGCCTTGCCCTTGAGAATTACAGTTGTCACAATTAATGCATTTCTTTATTGTTTATGCTGTTGCAGTGACTTGAAACCAAAAGTATCCAAAGTGAAACAACTTGCATCTAGTAAATATTCACTAAATATAACTTGATTTTAAAGTGATGGTCTTAGATAAATAGAATATCCACCGTGACATTGTTATTCACTGAGATCTGGGGAAGTGAAGTGTGGTATTCTTATGGTTATCTCTTCTAAGCTCAAGTTTATTTCATTTACATGACTGTGCCGTTCAGATGGAAGAGGCTAAATTTCTTTTCCTGGAAGACTAAGAAAAGTCTGGTCATGAGCTAATTGAGGGGAAGTAAACAAAATGGTAAGACAGGAAACCTCATTGCCATTGGATTTCTGACTCAAAGAAAAAGTTGCTTTGAGGAAATAATGTTTTAAAAATGAAAGTTTAATTAATAGTGAAGTTTAAAAAAATCAAAACAGGGTCCCACTGGTACATGACTGGAAATGGAACAGTCTAGAAATGAAGAAGTAGACCTAAATACATAAAAAGGATAGAGCACATGGTAAATTTCTCATTTCAAATCAGTGGGGAAAACTATATTTTATCAGTGATGTTTGGACACCAGGGTAGCCAGCTATAATAATAAATAAGTAGTTTAAGTTGGAGCCATTTTTTATACTTTACCAAATCTATTCTAGATAGGTCACAGATTTTAAATATGAAAATATGAAACCATAAAAATAAGAGATGAAATGATGAAAGATTTTCTTTTGGCTTAGGATTGAAAAAAATCTTTTAAAATATGATGGAAATGACAGCAATCATAAAATAAAAGGAAAACAGTGCAATAGAAAAATGGGCAGAGGGTATCATGTCAGGTGACATGGATTTGCAATGTCTTTCAAAATGATAAAATATATAATCTGTGATACAGCAATTATTTTTATAGGAGTTATTTTATTAATAATTATTTATCAATAATTCTATTAGCAGCAATTCTATTAAATTACAGACTTCCATATGCAGAAATCACTTAAGGGTTAAGTACTGCAACTTTGTTTTATCAGAAAATTGGAAATAACTGAAATAATCATCATTGGGAGAATGGCTAGATGAATGGTACTATGTTTATATAATGAATTATTATTCTTCATCAAAAAGGAACTCTCTTTGTACTTGCATGGAATGATCTCTAAAATATATGAAAAAAGCTGAATGGTGAGTTACAGAACAGAATAATGAGTTACTGTTTGTGTGAATAACGGATGGTAGAGAGTCCCTTTCACGACAAAGAGAAGTAGGATACATGACCTGCCTCTGGAGGGGTACTGGGTGTATGGTGCTTGTGGGTTATCTGGAGATGTCAGGTAACTGTTTGCCCTTTGAATTTTGCAAGACTTTACCCCCTCCCCACCATTTCCTCCTTCTGCCCCAAGGTCAAATCTGTCCACAAAGGAGTTGCCTCTTGCTTTTGTCTATTCCAGACTTTGGGTAGAGTGCTATGTTCAGGTGCTCTCTGGAGGGCACGTCTGATTGATATATTTGACTGAGGATGGAAGAGTAGTTGAGACGTTTAATTTTGGAAAATTAGACTATGGTGGAAGAAAATCAAGAAGGTTAAGGTAGGAGGATTTTGCCTATCATCTTGCAATAGGGTGGTGAGAGTGAGAGGAAATGGCAATAAATCACAGACAGGAGAAGAACCACCTACTTGCCACACTAAAGCTCAATTTTCCTCTTCCCAGAGCTCTATAGTTGATGCCTTATTAACATCAGAGGGGATTTGATGACTTGTCATATTCAGTCCTGACTATTGAAATGAAAAGGATAGAAAATGAAAAGTATGGAAAATGAAAATCAATTGCTTTCTTTAATTTTAGTCATCCTATTCCTGGTGCATATTGAATACTACTTTGGGTTCCTTCATTGTTCAGGTTATTAATAACAAAGAGCCAAAGTATTTCACATTCTTAAAGAGTCTTTCATCTCAAAGGAGCCAATGTAATTCACTAATTCAGTTACCTGAACTACATTTGGTAATTATTTGAGGATCACTTCACCCAGGGGTGAATTTCAACGAGTTGTGTGACACAGCCAACAGTCACTTCATTCTCCATTCAGTGTGAAAGAAAAATGAATAGCTAATGGGGATGTCCTCCTGAAGGATTTGCCCAGTGAAAACTTCAGGGAGATGGATGCTGAAAGAATGTAATTAACTGCCCGAAATTAATACCTCCAACCTTACTCAAGGTTTCCTGACCTCTTTACTAGAGTCAGGGTGGAGAGGTGTCTTCTTAGAAAGTGGCTCTTCAGCCGCTGAGAGACTTGTGAACAGTAGTCATTCTCTTGCTGTATTTTTTTGAGTGGTTACCAACGACATTATATTTTTAATTTGTCTCCATATATTCACTGTTGGAATCTAGAAACACAATGAATTTTCCTATTGTTACAAGTGATTCTTGTATTTTGATCTTGTATCAGTGACTGCTGAACTGACTTACAAGTTCAGAAATGTTTTTTTGAGATTCCTTGGGGTAAACCAATGTTCCCTCAATGAAGAAAAAAAAAAAAGGTTCCAGGGGATTTTTGTGTAGACCATATGGCATTTGCAAATAGAGGCAGTTTTACTTCTTTTCTTATCTGCAAAATTTTAATTTCCTTTTCTTGCCTTATTAAGCTGGCTAGATCATGATTTAAAAGCAGTGGTGAGAACAGACATCCTTATCTGTTACCTGGCCTTAGGGAAAAGACATTCAGTCTCTTACAATTAAATATAATGATAGCTATAGGTTTCTTATTCTTTATCAAATTGAGAAAGTTTCCTGCTACTTCTAGTTTTCTGAGAAATTTTGTCATGAATGGGTATTGAATTTTATCAAACGCTCTTTTTATAGCATCAGTTAATAGAATCACTTTTGATTGAATGATTTTTCCTCTTTAGTTGATTAACATGTTGAATTACAGTGATTGATTTTCAAACATTGAACCAGTTTTGCATCTTGTGAACAGCAGTCATTTATTTTTAAATTTATTTATAAGAACTAGGGTCTCAGTTATTTGACCCTCATTTTGGGAGGAGAGACTGAGCTCAGAAGCTGGCGCTCTTCCAGCATGGGGCATGTGGCTAGACCCACCTGCCAGAACCCTTTAAGAATTATTTCATACTTCCCCCTCGGAACTGTCACCCAGAAACAGGAAACTGCTGCTAACATGATAGCTATCCAATACCCAGGAGACTGACCATGCACAGCTCATGTCCAGCATGCCCATCAGTCACCACTGTCCCCAATGGAATGGCCTCTACTCCCCTTCCACAAACCAGCTAGCACCTGAGGGTATTTTATTGGCAGAAGCTAAATCAAATCTAAAACCCTAGCAGAAGAGAGTCAGGAAAATATGTTTTTAAGACATCCAGTCCCTATGATTCAGAGGGTACATGGGGTGTGGTGGAAATAGATGCTGAGGGCCAGGCAGTGATCCCAGCACCACTGCTTACTTCACCGGGTCTACTAGCTTGCCCATCTTCTCTTTATAACTGCTCTCAAATTTTTCTCTTAATTTTTATATCATCTTTCCTCTTCTACTTCTCCCACCATCATTCAAAAACTCACTCAGATGGATATATTTACAGAGGTCAAGTTGGGGTGGGAGAGTAGAGTGCAAAAAGAGGTGAGATGCAACACACATAGAATATATTCTATTTTAATGATATATTTAAATGGGCCGTGTTTGTATAGAGATGTTTGAGATCATGAGAAAGGAAGGCAGACAGACTGACTATCCCCAGAAGAGTCTGGATTTTGGCAGCTGGCACTGGTTGGAATGGGTGCATATGTAGGTTGGAGAGAATGTACAGAGTGAGCAGCATTACAGACAAGGGCTCACACAGGGTCTGGGGCTCAGCCATGGGACATGACCCTGGCAAAGTGAGTGGAACATACAGGCAGTGATCGTGCTCAGGGAAACAGAGCCAAGGACTTGAGCAGGGCAAGCTGCAGCTTGATTGGCAAATCAGAGTTGAAATTGTTGGATGGGAAAGAGAATTTGGAGCCAGGGTCTGTGATTGTGTTATGGACTCTGGTTGTGCTTCCTCAGCTGTGTCTTACTTGAGGGGGCAGGGCATGCTGGGGAGCTTTCTATAATCACAGGGTCCTATAAATGGTGGGGGTAGGGGGGAGGCAAAGCTATTTCTATGGATGAGTGAGGCATTCAGTCAAGGTCCCAAGATCTTTGTGGTTAAGTGCTTTTCTCTCAGTCCAGGTAAAATGTTCTTCTAAGAGCTTGATTAGAAGTCAAAGTTGTGTGAAAAGGCCAGGACTTCTTTTCTTTCTCTCGTTCCTGCCCAACCTTCCCTCCCCCATCCCTCTACCTCCCATCTTCCAGCACAGCTGGAAGACCCCCACCTGTCTACCACCCTCTTCCCCCACCCAACCCCTTCATTCAGGAAATTTTCCCCATGTGTAAAGCTACTGGGGTACTTACCTTGGGTAAATAAATACATTGAATAAATACCCCAAACCTGATGTATTCAGAGGTCAGGACTATGGAAGAGACAGAGCCACCGAATGACTAGGCCCCTTCCGAATGGATGTGGCTACTTCGGTGCCTCCAGTCTCTAGTACCTCAGAGAGCTGCTGCTGACTGCTCCAGGCCCATCGCTGATTCTTAGGGGGCTTAGAGCACCCTGTGAGGGCAGGCAGGTGACTGAGTTTATCCCTGCATGGTCAGGGTGTTTTGCACTGCTCAGTGGCCCCAGACTGTTCCCTTAAGCTGGTCTGTAAGTGTGGGATATTGGCCCAAGGAAGGACCAAATCAGTATAACCAGATCCATTGGCAATACTGGAAGAATATAATTCCAGGAGCGATGGTATTCCATAAGTGCCCTTCTCAGATATGAAAGATAAAACATTTTTCTCTACCAGTGGTTTTCAAATTATGTTGGCTTCTAAATTATTTTCTCCTCTCTGAATGAAATCTACTTGTAAATGCAATATAAAAATCAGATAGAATTGCAATTGTTCTGGTTGAATATTGGTGGAGTTCAGATAACTATGTAGTCATCTCCTTTGAACGACCTCCAAAACTATTCTAGGGAGTCAATAAACAGAATTTGAAAGCCCCATTCTTTGGTGTCCTTTAAATCTTGTTAGTATTGTTGCCTAGTTTAAAAAAGGAAGAAACTGAGGCATGAAGGGATTGAGAAACTGACTTTGCCATGACAATGCCATAAGTCTGTTGTTAGCAGGAAGACTGAGGGGAACCCCTGGGACTCCCAAACTTGCACATTTGAAGGGGATTCTGCCATCTGCCATGTACAGACAAGGCATACTTTTAGTCTGAAAAAACTTGAATAGGATTAGTGTGCAGAGAAAGAGAAGAGAGGATAATGGCTTCCCAATAAAATACCTATCCCTTCATGGGCAAATATCCAGTCAAAAATGATGAGGCCCAAAAGGTGGCCATAAGTCTAAGGCACCTTCTGGCAGGGCACCAGGGAAAGGGCACAGGGGCTAGGAGCAAAATGAAAGTACAAAGCAAGATCAAGTCCGCCATTCTCAGCCTCCCTACGTGTCTCTCACCCACAAGTCTCTTTCAGGTGTTTCTATGTCTTAACTCTTAGTCTCTGCCTGTCCCCCAAGTCTCTGATTCAAATCCACAGCTGAGAAGCAAGCATGCCCTCCTTCACATGTCTTTCTGCTCCAAATGTCTCTCAATGTCCCCAAAGTTTTCAGTAACGTCCCCCTTGCCACTCAGCTCCACCTCTCATTATGTGGAACAGGGAACCTGGAAGCTCCCCTTTTTATTGAGCTTCCTCTGTCATGTATCAGTCGGGACCTGTGCTTGGCTGAACTGAAAAGTTGTTTTAAAAAGACAGGGCTTTATTTTCTTCTATTCTTATAAGATGTCCAGAAGTGGACAGTATAGGGCTGATGTGGTAGTGCTGTGAGGTTTTGGGGGCCCAGTTTCTCTGCAGCTCACCAACCCAGAATCCCTAGGGTGCCTCCTCATCACATATTTATAGTGTAGTTTCTGGAGCTCTAGTCATTTGAACAGCATCGGGAAGATGTAGTCAGAAGGACAGAGGGGTTTTGATTTGCATTTCCCTGATGATAAGGGATGTTGAACATTTTTTCATATGCCTGTCGGCCATTTGCATTTCCTCTTTGGAGAAATGTCTTTTAAGTTCTTCTGCCCATTTCTTGACTGGATTGTTTATTTTGTTTTTGTTGAGTCCTGTGAGTTCTTTGTATATCTTTGTGATCAGTCCCTTATCAGTTGATTGGAGTGCAAAGATTTTTTCCCAATCAGTGGGGTATCTCTCTGTTTTGGTTAATGTCTCTTTTGCTGTGCAAAAGCTTTTCAGTTTGATGTAATCCCAGGTGTTTATCTTTTCCTTGACTATTTTTGCTTTGGGTGATGAGTCTTTAAAGATATTACTGAGATGTGTGTCTTATAATATTTTATCTATATTTTCTTCTATATATTTTATGGTTTCAGGTCTTATGTCCAGTTCTCTGGACATTTTGGTTGCAGGAGAGGAGGCAGGAGAGGGATCAGAGGGAGGGAGGGAGGAGCACAGGGGACTGAGGTGATGGTGCACAGGTGCATTGGTAAAGGAAACCCTATGGGGACAACACCTGAAGGGCGTAGTCACTCCTTTTGAAGAGGACTTTCTGAAAAGCCTCAGTGACTTTAATTTACATCTCATGTAAGTCATAAAAACAATTTAAGCTGAGAATACTGTCACTCCTGGCAATCTAGGAGCTTGCTAGCAAATAAGGAGAAAACTGATATTGGGTGGGTTAACTAGTAGTCTGACACAAATATGGTATCCACATCCTCTATGTGAGCACATCTGGATTGGTCCCAACTGCAAATAATCTGTTTGCCTCATAAATCCACAAGATCAAAATTTCAACACCTAAATGTATGTTTTTCCTATTCCAAAGAGGCTCAAATATCCTTTGTTAGATTCATGTCCTGCATTTTATTTTAGAAAATGGATTACCTAATTAAATAACCTAATTTGTTGTTTTCTCAGATTGCTTGACCCATGTAATTAAAAAAAAGTTATAATTCAAATTCTCTTCAGGTGGCAGGTGGGAAGGCATAAGTTGGCAATATGTGGGCCTTGGGATCAAAAGTGGGTGTTGGTTTAGCCTTCAGGACACCCTGCCCTTTGACCCTTTACCACACCCTGTACACTTTACTCATTTCTCACTGAGGCATTACCATTCTCCATGTGCTTCTGTCTACCTTATATGGTGACAGCGCCATAGGTGCGTGGTGAGCCACCGCTGCCTGTGCTGTGCTTGGAGGACGAATGCTAGACATGCATTAAGAAGACTCAGCTCCACCCTTTACCAGCTATGACCCTTAGAGAAGCCACTTCATTCCTATGGCTTCCCACTTCAGGAAGCAAGGGTATAAGACTAGTTGAGCTCCAGGGACACTTCTAAGTCCAGCATACTAAAATTGTGTGTCCTGCCTCTGTTTCCTTTCCTTCATCCTCATTTGGAGGGGAATATACTGTGCAAATGCTGCCAGTCACTGGGCAGGGACTCAGCAAAGTCATCTATCTGTTCTTTTTCTTCCACTGGGAACAATTATCATAGAAACCAGTCTATTTGTTTTCTTTAAGTTTTACTAATGAAAGTTTGTTTTCCAAACCCTGGAGGCTTTTCATAATGTAGGTCTTTCCAATGTAGGCATTTAACCAGAATGCATCCAGTTGTCACTCATGTCCCTCTGCTCTTGTTCTGTTGATTGTGTGACTCTTGTCTGGTTGTTCATAGGAAAACTTCAGACAAAATCAAAGTTACATGACCATGAAGAACATTTTCCAAAGGAAGATATGGGCTCCAGATTGCTTATTGTCCATTCAAAAGTTCTCTTATTAGTTCAGTCAGTCAAAACACCTGGGTGTCTGTTATATGCAAGTCACTATGTGGAAAGCAAAGGTGCTCATACTGACGTGATCTCATGTGCCAGATCCTATCCCATGTACATCAATTCTTATTGAATCTTTAAACAGCCTATAATGCAGGCATTTATCATGGAATCCTGTTGTTTTGTCCCCTCTTTTGACTGTAGAGACTGTATACTACTACTTTCCCAATCATTTACCTAATTTTGGGGGTTAACTATTATGTGCCAGGCACTAGGGATACAACCGAATAAGATAGCCAGTTTGTCTAACAGAACTGTCAATTATCATGCCTTACCTACTTCCACCCACGTGACCCAAGCCACGCCCATCATGAAACTACTTGTCTTTTTTGACAGTGATTGGGCTGGGTGTTGGGAGCATGACGCAGGTAAGACAAGTGAGAGTCCTTCTGTGCTCTATGATCCCATTCTGGTTGCTGGAAAAAAGATGGCTTTTCTTCACTCATTTGAGCCCTAGATTCAGACATGTGAGATACCTACTCCACGATGTTTTATAAAACAATAGAATATCCTCTTGCTTAAGCTATTAGTTTGAACCATATGCAATTGGCATCTTTGCAGTTTGGATGTCAATAATTTCAATGAGTTTGAATTTCTGCTATTTACAATGGAAAGAGATCTTACTAATACAATGGAAAGAGACCTTACTAATGAGACCTTACTAATAGTCTGGTTATCTGCAACTCAGGTGAAGGAAAGGAGGCTAGGCGTTTCTATTTACCTAAGGTCATTCTGCTGTGAAGCATAGAAGAACTAAAACCCATGTGACTTCAAAGTCCATGTTCTGATTATCTAGTACAAGTTCCATAAAGTCAAACAAGGACTGAAGAGTCAAACAAGACTGCTACTCAAGGATTTGGTCCACAGGCATGTACGTTGTCAACAAACCAGTTTGCTACTGGTTCACAAGGCAGTAAAAAGTACTGAACCAGAATGTAAACCAACTATGTCACTGAGCACACTCTCATTAGCTGACATTTTTCTTTTTAATACTAAGATTCTGGTGCAAACTCCTTATCCCCTCCTGGCCTGGCATTAAACCATTTTGCTGACTGCCACTGGAGGAACACACATCTAGAGGACCCTGGGGTTTGCTCCCTACTTCATGACCATCCTGTTGTCTCTGGGGACTCCCACAGAAGGCATGTCTATACCATGGGACACTGAACCCCTCTTTTGGTAGATATAACTGACTTCCTCAGGTCAGTTTTATCTGACCATTTGTTTGAACCAGGCTGGGCCAATCAGATTTTATCTAACAATATGGAAGCTTAAAAAAAAAGAAACAAAGTAACGAGGAGATGTTAGTTGCTGAGCTACAGAAATAGAGTAAGCTTAGAAACTCTTGTTTCCATGTCTCTGGAACTGCTATTGTTCTGGCCTTTCTGAAATGTGGCTGTTAAAGTCTGCCTCATGTTTTACAAGATTACTAGTATTCTTCCAAGTGAATTCCCTTTTTCTTAAATGAGCTAGAATTGGTTTCCAGAGGAATAATCCTACTGAAAAATATAGAGAAGACAAGCTGCTCATGACTCAGCATTTAATTTACAAAGTCAGGGATATGCTAGCCTAGATGAGGGCGTTCACCACAATTCCAGGTTTCGGTATTAGCTGAAGACACTGAGCGTGACCTGAGGCCCCACTGTGAAAGGAAAGAAATACGCACATAATCACTTACCCCTGGTTACTAAAGACTCTGACAAAGCAAATACATAATTGACCTTTGTCTGTTTACTGTAGATAAATGGAACCCAAATGAATGAATTCATGTAACATTAGGAATATTACTACTCAGGGGCCCCTGCACAGCATGTGCCCATCCAACTGGCTTTAAAATGGCACTGAGGGCTGCCTGCTAGGGTCCCCTCCCTGTTCAGAGAGCTTTCCTGTCCTTCTTATCTGACAATGAATCTCTTTCAAAAAAATAAACAAAACAAAACTGGCATTGACCATTTGCTCCAGGAAAACAAACATCCTAGCCAGTTAAAGTCAAACAACGATTCAACTGATTTTGGAAAAAAAAAAAAAAAGGAGACCTGAATCCTTTTGTGATTCTGCTATGTCTTTTTAGATGCAATATTTGGTTAAAAAAATATGTGGATGTCCCTGAGATCATCTCAGTATTTGAGGTTGCAAGTCCTGGTAGAAACTGTCCCTTCCAACTTGATGAAGAAAGCTGTGAAAATGGATGTTTGAAGCTGGGAAGGCCGCATTGAGCGGCAGCCGGACAAAAACGTGAGTCTGGTGCTCTTACTTCAGGAGAGGAAAACCAATCCTGGAAGGTGTTAGGTGAAGCTTCATAAGCTTGACACTTGCATCATTTATTTCTGAATCCAGAACAGTTGTCTCCTACCATCTGACCTAGAATGTCTGCCATCTTGGTTCTGAATGGGTTAATCTATCTTTAGAGGGTATCCAGATACTTCTAAGATAAGTTTTGCATTCTGTTGCTCTTTCTATTTAAAAATTAAAATGCTTGTAGTAATAGTTATCCCTACTAGTATAGCCAACATGATCACCTATAAATGCTTTCTGAATTAAAGAAAATTTGAACCTGAGATTCAAATATTCAACTATCCATGACTATAATTCTCCACATTTAAGACCTCTTCTAAGAGAGTCTCTTTGAAATCTAATGATTTAGGCAGAGTTTTTTTCTTAATTGTATTGCTGGACATATAGTTGGCATAATCTATAAGACTCTCAACATGATATCCTATATCCAGTATTTTTTATTGTACTAAATTTCAGGGCTAATTTAAGTTTAAACTCTTTATTTTAGAAAATCAGTAACAGCAACTAATTAGCACATCTCATTCTGGATGTATTTGCCAACCAATTTCAGAGACTCATTTGCCTGTTAAGAGATTTTATTGAACACCAGCACCACAGACTCTCCTTTTTTTCTAGTAAACAGCTCATGCTTATTATCTTATTACAGGAATGCCACTGGTTAAATCAGGCTCTGAATATAAATAGCCATATTACTGCCATCAGACATCAATGTTTATTTAGTGGCTGTGAGTCATGCATACCTCTTTGATCGGGTTTGGAATGAGCCGTTGCAGTTTTTGTTCAAAAAGGTTATTTGCAAAGGCTACAGAAGTATCAGTTAGATTAAACATGAAATTAATCAGTGTGGAATTTTATCAGCCATTTCTGCCACCAAACACCAGGTGTCAAGAGCATGTGCAAATGAGGGCTAAACATAATGAAGCTGGGGGACAGCTTAGTAGGGAGGACAGAAAGGATTCCAAGAGGTCTCCCAAACTCAGGGAGAATAGAAAGGATGGAAGGGAGGAAAAGAGGGCAGAGGGTGAGAGGAAGGCAGGCCTGTTGTGCCACCTGAAACTCCTTGGCAGCTTCACATGTTCCCCAGCACAGTATGTGGGTGAGAGTCAGGTGACCTAGAACAGAGTTAAGCTGAACTCTGCCCTGCCCCGTGATCTTTGGAAACCTATTTAGTGTATACACACATTACCAAGCCACATGCAAGATGTGATAAACTTGCACAAAAGCAGATGGAGGTGCATTTTCTACCTTAACATTTCTTTAGACTAAATCATCAGAAAGGTAGACCCATTATAACAGTCATATGGTTTTAGTCCATGAAGCTATGTTGATGGAAGCAATGTGGCCCTTTAACTGGAGGGCTCACTTAGACCAGGGTTCATTCAGCAGTTGGTGGCTACTCCAGATTGTCAGGGACATGTGCTGAGAGAGAGACTTGTGAATAATTCAACCATACTACTTAGTACTATGATGGTTGCCTCTGGAAATTCCTCATGACATCTCCGCAACCTGGTTGTTACTCTGCTCAGCAATTCTGCAAAAAGCCTCATTGTTTCCCAGGCCCCACAGTTTTCCAGCTTCTGACTCCCCAGTCCCCTGTTCCTCTTACTCAGCAGATGATCTAGCCTTCCCAGCACATTGAAAATAAATGTACATACATTCACACTCATTCTCTCCCTCTCCCTCATTTCCATGACAGGGAGTGCCCTTCCTCTCAGAACAGGCAATCCTTGTAGCCGTGTTTTGGAGCCAATTTCTTTTCAGAGTCCCTTTTCCAACCAGAGTCTTTCGTTTCTTTCCTCCCAATTAGCTTTTCCCATCAGCAGATAAAAGTACTCCATCTTTCCAAATTAAAAAATAAAATCCTTCTTTGACAGTTCCCCTCTTCAGGAATCTTCCTTCCCTGTCACTGACAAGCTTCTTGAAAGAATTGTCCACAGAGTTCTCACTTCCTCAGGTGGTACTCTACCTGGGGGCAGGTTTTCTGGGAGTCGCTGACACAGAGATTTGCATGGTACGGTGTACAGGTGGTGTAGGGGTTGTTCTGAGACATACCCTTGGGAGGAGAATGAAAGAAGCAGGATTGGCCAGATCCAATTCTGGGGGACTCGAGGGCTGGATGATCTTTAGATGATTGGAATTGAGGCAAAGGGACAGGTCTTTGTAACCCCACATGGACCAGTCACTGGATACGCAGGGTAGGTGAGCTGAGATAGGCCAGGCAGCTTCTCAGCCACCAATAGGCAGCCGTCCCAGCTGTTGGGAAGTTAGTGCTTCAATCCCAGAGAGTAGCTCTGGGTGGCACAGCCTAGCACTTACTACTGAGCCTTCGATAACCCGACTTACCCCGTGTTCCAGCCCCCACCTACCTTCAACTGCTTTTTGGGGCTTTCCATCCAGACATCACACTGCAGTCAATTAATCCTTTCAAAATGTAACTTTCATCACTTTCTGTCACCCCTCTCACTCATTCCTATGGTTCTTTGTCTCTGTCAGTGAAAGAGAAGAGGTAACCTGTGAGATAAAGTCCTTTCCTTTCTCTCTTTTACGGATTACTTCAGAGAATGTTTGCTCTTTGCAGCGCTTCTAAAGAGTCTTGTGTGCTGAATAAACACCTACTGAGTGACCCCCGCTGTCTCCGCCGCCTGCTGAGACAGGAGCAGGCGCAATGCTCCCAGCTGTCCAACTTGCTGCCTCTCCCTCATCCTCACTGCCCTGGGCTCCGTCTGTCAAATAAAGTGTGACCATAATTCTGCCCTCAGGCTTTGCTTTCTAGAGGACCTGAAAGAAAATAGTGTCCCCCCACCCCCCTCTTATTTCCAATAAGTTTTATAAGTGATTTCTAACTTCTAAGAAAGTCTTCAGTCTGCAGGTTTGCTCCCCTTACAAGCTATGTGCCACTTTTACCCTGGTGTGAGGCAGAACTTAATAAATACTAGCGGTCTATCGCAGGGTGCTGCTTAGAGTAATCGGGCTGCTTTAGAAAACACTGAAGAGCTAAGAACCCTTCCTAGATTGTGGCAATCCACACAATACCTCCCCCCGCCTTCTGTGCTGTTCTTCTAAAATTTCATGGATTTTAGGAGGTTTAAATGAGCAGTGTATGTAAAACAATTAGAGCTGTGCTAGGTATGTATTGAGCGAAAAACAAGATTTAGCTATCATCATTGTCATTATCCTCTCATGGATTTCCCCCCTCCTATTTCTTTTCCCCCATCTCCTGAGGGTTAAAACAGCTTAAAAATATTTAATTTAAAATTGAGTAAATTCCATTTTCTCTACCTAGTATTCCTAGGAAACAAAATACAATAGAAATCTAAGTGGTCATTAACCTAAAAATTGGTACTGCAGTGGTGAGTTATTTAGTGTCTGTGTGATGTTTTTGTGGATACAAAACACAATTTAAACCTTGAGATTTTAGAATTAATATGCACTGTAGGAAGGTTAAAAAGTAAAAACAAATCTCTTTTTCCTTAAACTTTCATGGTCAAATTAAATTATTATTTTACAAATATTTATAATAAATCCAGGGAGTTACTATTAGCAGGCAGACTGAGGGGTACTGTGGGACCCCCAAACTTATAGTCTCTAAAGGGGTCTAGCCGTCATGTACACAAAGTATACTTAGTATAAAAGAACTTTAATAGAATTAGTGTACGTAAAGAAGAAAAGGATAATAATTTCCCAGTGAAACACCCAAAATTACACATGCCTTTTGAGTAAATGCCCAGCCAAAGAGGGTTGGGCCAAAGTGGGGCTACTGAGGCCTGAAAGCTTGCCACTAGTCTAAGAAACCTTCTGCCAGGGAACCATATGAACCATAGGAAAGGGGCAGAGGGGCTAGGCAAGTCTGGGATGAAAGGAACAAAATTAAAGTACAAATCAAGATAAAGGCTGCCATTGTCAGCCTCCCCACGGGTGTCTTCCCCACGTCTCCTTCAAGTCACCTATGTCCCTGGAGCAAGTCCAAACCCGAGAAGCAAGCGAGGCCTTCTTCTCTGTGTTTCTCTCTCCCAGGTCTCTCCTCTGTGTGTTTCTGCAAGCAGTTCCTCTTGAGCCCACCTGCCTTCCAAGTTATGTAGCTTCACCTGCCACTCAGCTCCGGCCCTCATTAGGTGGGACAGGGAATATTTTACAACCCCCTTTTATGGAGGTGCTTCTGTTGTGTTATTTGATTATAGCTTGATTGACTAATTGAACAGACCTAAACCAATTCCCTAAAACAATCTGTCTTGTTTACATCTTCATTTATAAAGTTCCCTTGAATGTTATACACTGCAAATTGTATATATCTCATTTTCAAAAGCCACCGCTACTGGTACCCTGCCTGCCAAAGCCTTCTTGCTCTAATAAACCTGGTTAACCATGTGGTCCACCTCAAGTTAATCATATATATTCCAATTTTGCTTACAAACTCTGCATTCTGTTTTTATATTTATATTCTACATTTCAATGGAAAATATAATGCAAAAAAAGACTTATACATTTTAAATTAGAATCAAAGATCAAATCCATCAAATTCACTAAAAATCTCTTAAACCTCTTAAACACTGCAAATACTTAAAATATAAAATATATACAGATCACTCAACATATGAACAATCAATAGCATGGTTTGTTTTATCATCTCTACGTTTAATTCTAAACATCCTATTGTTGACAGAGAGCTTCTACCATCTCAACCAAGTTGGGTTTACTTTTGGCCAAAAGTTTTGGCTGGGACACGGTTGTAAGGTCTGAGTTCCAGGGTGCCTCTCAGCACTGAAGGAGATGCTGACTCCTTTTAAACAGCCACAGTGATGACAAGGAACTCCTTGTTCATGCTCCACAAAAGGGGTTATTTTCACAGTTGACCTTCTGGCATAAAATTAGACCATTATCCAATTCATCCTTCTTATTGGAGCCTGCTGCTCTAGCTAGTTTACCTCTTGATTGGAGTTAATTAATCTATTTATTCTGATTAATTTGGAATTTTTTCTCACTTACTTTTCATGTTTGAATATTGACCACAATCCTAAAGGGATTTATACTACCAGGCACATTTGTTATTGTTTGTGGAAGAGAAAGAGAAAAAATACATTGAGCGTAATTTAGGTGCTATACATATATTATTACGTGTGTGTGTGTGTGTGTGTATAAATTTATTTCACCTTTTCCACAGTTGTGTGAAGTTGTGTGAAGTTCCACAGTTGTAGGTACAGTTATGACCATTTGACAGATGAGGAAACTGAGGCTCAGGAAATTCAGTAGCAATTAAGTTGCAAAGCAGGGATACAAGTCAAGTTTATGATGAAATCCATAATCTATACTTTATGAGAACTTCATGTACGCCCCCTGGCATTTCTAGCTAGTTAATAAGCTTGGCCACATGAGTGGCTGCCTCTCCGGGTTACCTTTTTATAAAAATTATTTTCCTACCAACTTTTTGTAAGAAACCCAGGCATGAAAAGTTTGGGGTCATGGCTACGAGTTGGCCATTTGACACTTTTTCTTCCCCTCTGTGAGGCCCACATTAGTGGGCCAGATGGTGACCTTGTAGACAGACCTGAGACCTTCCAGGCATGAGCCTATAATTCTTTACGATGGCTTTTGCCTAAGAGATCCCTCCCTACCCCACCCTCTCTTTCTCTCTCCCCTCCCCACTACTTATTTTTTTCTATTTTTTAAAAACTTAAGCTTATGGAATATTTATAAGAATAGAAACCCTCCATGCCCCCTTCATGTTTGACAGGTGTTAATATTTTACCCTATTGGCTTTATCTCTCTCTAACGATTTAAAAGTGTGTGGCACATTCCTAAATTCTTAGTGTGTATGTCCTTAGATAGATACTCGCTTACACAATCACAGTTCACTCATTAAATAAGGAAAATTTGAAATGGACATAATGTTCTAATCTAATCCAATTATGAATTAGTGAAGTTTTGTAAATTTGCTCCAATATTCAATACAGAAATCAACATTACATTTGCTTATATGGCTTTTTATTTTTTTATTTTTTAAATTTTTTTATTTTAACATTTGTCATTTTTTTAGTTTTTTAGACAATATTTGTTCCCCCCCCCCCCGATTGAGTCCCCATAGAATTTCCTTCCCAAGGTACCCGTGCACCATCACCACAGTCCCCTGTGTTCCTCCCTCACTCCCTCTGATCCCTCTCCCTTCTCCTCCCCTGCAGTATGTCTCTGGCAAGAAGATGTGGTATATATACACAATGGAATATTATTCAGCAATCAAAAAAGATAAACTCATGCCATTCACGGCAATATGGATGGAGCTAGAAGGAATTATGCTCAGTGAAATAAGACAGAAGGAAAAAGAAAAATATCGGATGGTTTCACTTATAACAGGATTATAGGGAAACCAAATAAGGCATCAATATTAAAAAATAATAACAGTACAAAACACAACAAATCAAAAACAGACAATTATATGGCTTTTTAAATTTCATTACCTGGCGGCCTCCCTGGTGGTGCAGTGGGTTGAGTGCAGTACAGTGAAGCTGTCTGCAGTGCCAGTTAGATTCCTGGCCAGCCAGGGAGATACCCACATGGCCCAGCAGACCTCTCCTGTCTTGCCCGCTGCTCCCCTTAGCAGTGCTTTCAGTCACTCTACCCATTCTGCCCCCAGCTCTGTCTCTGGTGAATTCTCACACCCTACCTCACCTCTGGTCTGTACCCCAGTTCTGGTATAAATAAAAATAAATCTTTAAAAAAATAAATTTCATAATCTGGAATGATCGCCCATGATCTCTGTCTTTAATGCCATTGACTTTTTTGGTAAGTATAGGTCATATATTTTCTAGGATTACCCTCAACTTGGGTTTGTCTGATGTTGCTCATGATTAGATTCAGGTTATAGCTTTTAGCAGGAATCCTACATAAGCGATGTTGTGTCCTCCTCTGTACATTCATGAGGAGACGCTTGATATTGGTTTGATCCATTAGGATGTTAGCTTCAGTCCGTCAGTTGATTAAGGTTATATTTGCCAGATTTTTCTACTGCAAAGTTACACTTTTCCCTTTGTAATTAATGAATAACTTGTGGCGAGATTGTGTAAATAAACTCTTTACATACTTATTTCTACTACTTTTATTATTCATTAATAATTCTCACCTGAGTCAATTATTACTGTGATGACTGCAAACTCTTGATTTTTTCTAACTCCACTATTTTCCTATCTTCATTCCTTTGCATTTTTTTTTTTTTTTTGTAAGGGAGGACTTACTGGTATCATTAATTATCAGTATGACCTAATGGGCTCTTAGTTTTTTTACTCTTTACTGTGATTATTAATTTTGATGTTAAAATTGTTTCAGATTTGACTAGTAGAAATGCCTTCAAGCTAGTTCTTGAATTCTTTTGACATGTCCTTAACATTTTTTGAGCACTTGCTTACTTTCTGATCTAAGATAGTTCAGACTAATCTTTTGTGCTTTTTTTTGGCCTGAGAACTGAATCAGTCATTTCTCAAAGGAGTTCTGGTTTTACTTTTAGTTGGGACTGGTATTTACAAACCATAATTTTGTTGCTAGGGGTCTTTATTGCTACTGGACTGTCAAAGGCTCTAAGTGTTCTCAGCACACAGACCTAAGAAACATACATATTTTTTCATATCTATAGTAAAAACTATAAACTCATACTGTATCTAGTTTCAATCCAACAACACAGGATTCTTTCCAGCCTTCTCCTTGCATTTGTTTGTCTTCTCCTCTGCATTTGTTTGTCTTCTCCGAAAGTGAGGAAACTGGTTCTCAACATTTTCAAAGTATTAATTCATTTTCCCAGTCCTTAAACACTGAGAAAATAATTTCAGAATTACTTAACCATACCACTTAGAAAAATTTGCATACTAAAGTGGAATTCAGTATTGGCTTGCAGTTCTTTTGTCTTTCGATCAAGGCTATATAGGCAAAGAATTATGTTCAAAAGTTATTTGGGTGGTTTTAATTTTCTTTAGTCCATATATGGACTATGTGGTTTATCTGAGATATAGTAAGCTCCTTTGTTTCTGTTTGTATTCCATTTTTGATTTCTCACATACCTCTATTCTTGGTGGTTTTACTTTATGTTTTTGAGTAAATAAAAGTTGCATAATTCCAAAGACAAAATAATACTTAAAAACATATTCCAAGAAATTTTACTCCTTTGTCACGTGCTGTTTCTACCCACTCTGTGGATAAACTCATTAGTTTTTTGTTTATTTTTACCATGTATTTTTTTCCAGCACAAGGAGATCCACGTACATATTCTTATCTATCCTTTATTCTCTTATGTAAAAGGTGGTATACCATCTATATACTCTTTCTTCACTTTGTAACCTACCTCTATATTGTGTAAATCATGCCATAGCATTTCACAGAGATCTTCCTCGTTCTTTTTTTATAGCCATACAGTACTCCAATGACTGGATATGGCACCGTTTATTTAACTACTCTCCCATGCCTGATAATTTATGTTTGCCACCAAAATTTTGTAATTACAAATATTGCTATTATCAATGACTTTGCCAATATATCTTTTCCAATAGTAGAGGTACAGTTTCAGGGTAAAATGATACAAATAGGATTTCTGGGTCAAAAGTTAAACATAAGTGTAGCTTAGTTATTGTCAAATTCTGCATTTGAGGAAAGTATGAGTTGCTATTTTCCTACAGCCTTACCAGCAGAACATTTTGTCAAGATTTTTAAGTTTTGACAACCTGATTTAAAAAAAAGCTATTTCAGTATTGTTTAATTTGTATTTTTCTTATTGTTTTGAATTGAGCAAATTTCTACATATTTGTGAGTTGTTTTATGTATCTTTTGGTAAGTTATCTGTTTAGATATTTTGCTATCAGATTTTTACTCTTTTATTCCTCACTTTTTAGAGGGCTACATATAACATGTGATACATATACATATATATGACACATATATACTTAATTCTAATATTCCTAATAGACAAAGATCTTTCTGTATCTTTTCATCTCTATCTCCATCTTTATCTACTTTATTTTTATTTTTATTTATTTATGCATCCAAGAACTGAGGTGTAGGCCAGAGGTGTGGGGGAGGATGAGAGGATTCACCAGAGACAGAATGGGGAGCAGAACAGGTGGAAATACTGAAATACACTGCTAAGGGGAGCAGCAGGCAAGATAGGAGAGGTCTGCTGTGCCATGTTAGTTAGCTCACTGGCTGGGGATTGGATCAAACTCATGCTGCTGATGGTAGCTTGATAGCCCTGAGACTTTAACCCCTGCACCACCAGAGAGGTCCCTTTATCTTTTTAAAAGGACACAACTGTTTTACTTTTTCAACAAATTTTTATAGGAACATTGTTTTAGAGACACTTAATGACAGTGTCTTTGCCTGATAGAAACTCACATTCACCTTTGACTTCTCAGGCTTTGCTAAGTGACATGTTGCTCATCCAGCAGTTAAGAGACGATCCCCATTGGAAAGGAAGGAATAATTTCAAAGCAGGAATAACATTGAAACATGGACAGAAATGTTTTTAAGAGGTCCCCCAGTGATCTCAAGCATTCTGCAACAGTTTACCTCCACTGCCTTAATCTTCAGGTTGAGTCATAGGGCTTGTCTTAGGAAAGGACTAGAAGTGAAGCCTTGAGATTTCAGCTAATGGCAGCAGCAAGGATCCCTGTGGGTACATTAGGTGACAGATGTTTATATCATAGAACCAACAAATTTAATACCTGTATGAGAGCTTACAGATTACCTGGACTCAGAAACAATCTAACATGATTTATAGGCCGGAAACAGAGGCCCACCGAGTTAAGCAGCTTGCCCAAAGTCACAAACTTTTATGATCAATGCTATCTAATATGATTTAAAACTAAAAAGACTTTTCAAAAGTAATCCATGCTGAAACATCTGCATTCAGTAAGTTTTATATTTTAAAGGTGCCATCTTGTTGCTAAAGCAACAGTTCCTGCTCCAAAGCAACGGAAGTTCTGTATTCCAGAACTTACCAAAGGGGAGCAGAAAATTCGCTTTGTTGTTTTATGTTGTTTTTGTTGTTTTATGTTGTTTTTTACTGATACATTACTGATACAGTTTACTGATACAAAATTACTGATACATTTTTTCCAGCTTGTTTTTAGTCCTTAGTGTAACACACACTCTTCTGTAAGTAAAGGTTTCAATTCATTTTTAAAAAATAGATCTCTGTTTAAATAATTAGGTTTGGCTTTCTTTAGTTACATTCCAGTTTTAAGGGTACACCCTAATTAATTTAATTGGACTACTGTGTTTTCTAAGTCTCCTAGATCACTCATTCCTACCTAGATTAAGTCAATCTATTATGTTAGCATCTCCCAAACTGATAACCATAAGAGTGCTTGTCAGACATACATATTCAAACCCACTCTGACCTCCTAAAACAGATTCTTCCTACATGACTGGAAATCTGAAGTTTTAGCAATTTCACATAGTTGCAAATTTTGGAAAAGCCAATTCTGTATTAGTTTGGGGAGTTTAACTCTCAGTTGGTAGCTTCACCCCAAATCCTCTTACATGTAGATTATCCCTAGGCTCTGGGGCAATACCAGTAAAACTTTTTGGCCTATGGCAGAATCATAGAATAAATATAGAACTTCCTACTACAGGCAATTCATCAGCATGCTGGTAGCTACTTTGCAAGGGAGAGAGCGCCTCAGGATGATTAGGTATGTGTAGGCCAAATCAGTCACAGTACTTTATAGTGACAGCCACTCTTTAAGAAATGCAGGAGGCAATGGGTGGTCTGTTCTTCATGCTGCCATTACAGAGTTGGATGACAAAAGCAGTGATTCCTTCAGTCATCAAGGTTCGTTGACCACAGCACTTGATCAAGCACCAAGGCTGATTCAATGACGCCAACAATATTGGTGCTGTCATGAACAGGTTGATGTCCTGGTTGGCGACACTTGTCATCCCAATTGTCTTCCATTACTACTACCATGAGGGCTGCCTGCTTCAGCTGTTTGTGAATTCCCTCTTCTGAGTTCCATCTCTTATCTTTGAACATGATCCTCTTCCTTTTTAACACTTAAAATTTAATAAATGTTTTTAAGTGCTTATTTTGTTCAAGGCACTGTGGTGTAGGGGATAGAAAGGATGGAAAGCTACTAAGAAAAATAAATACTCAGCCAAGTTGTTGAAGTTTTTAAAATTCTAAAGCAACAGTTCCTGCTCCAAATAAACTTAAGTTCACTCGGGGTCGGGGTGGGGGAATAAAACAAATAAATAACCATTAAACTTGACAATGAGGGTAGACAGGAAAGGCAGGTTTAAAGCAAGCTTTTTTGTTGCAGTAATTAAAATCATTTGGTACTGATGTAGGAATAGACATATTAATGAAATTGAATAGTGAGCATATGATATAATTAATATGTGATAATAGTCTCATTTCAAATTGGTAGGGAAAATGCATATTACTCAATAAATTACATTTATTTAATTTATTTATTATATTTACTAGCAAGTTTTCTGAAAAATAAATTAGGCCAAATCTTTACCACATTCGTCACACCAAATTAATTCTAAGTGCATTAAGCATAAAAATTTAAATCATAGCTATATTAGAGAAAACACAGATAAATCTTCAGTCTACGGGCTTTTCCAGCATGAAACAAAACTTAGCGTCTTTTACTAAGGGTGATTTTCACTACATGAAATTCTAAAATATACCATAAATAAAGTAAAAAATTAATAACAATGAGAAAAATTTTGGGATCGTATATGATAGAGGACTGATATGCATAATATCCCAAAGCTCTTCTAATAGAAAGATAAAGAACTCAATAGAAGGATTAAAAAAAGACATTAATTGGGAGTTCATTACAGAAGAATTATAAATGGTTAATAGTCAATTGAAAATATTCTTCAATAATTAAAGAAATGCAAATTAAAGCATATTTTTTGCCTATGTGATTGGAAAGAATATTTTTTTTTCAGTGATTAAAGTTCTTTTTGTCACTAAAAATGACCTGTGTTTATATAAAATATTGATGTAATAACAGCCATTCACTTTCTTTTTTTTATAATAAATTTTATTTTTATATTCCCCATACAATTGCAACCCCCTTATTTTGACACCAATCCCTCCCCTCCCACCCCCTACCCCCTATAGAGTGTCTCTGGTTCATAGTTTTTTGTTGATTTTGATTTTCACTTTCTTATAGTTATTCATTTTCCTGGCCCCTTATTTAAGTTCTCTAGATTCCTGCTATGAGTGAGACCATCCAGTATTGTTCTTTTTCTTTCTGGCTTATTTTGCTGAGCATGATCCCTTCCAGCGCCATCCATGTTGCTGCAAATTGCATGTGTTTATCTTTTTTGAATGCTGAATAATATTCCATGGTGTATATGTACCACATCTTCTTGATCCAGTCATCTATTTTTGGGCATTTGGGTTGTTTCCAAAGCTTAGCTATTGTAAATAGTGCTGCTATAAACATAGGGGTGCAGGTGTTCTTTGGAATTGATGTTTCTGTGTCCTTTGGGCAAATACCTAGGAGTGGAATTGCTGGATCATATGGAAGCTCTATGTTTAGTAGGTCCAGAAATCTCCACATAGCTCTCCATAGTGGTTGGACCAGTTTGCACTCCCACCAACAGTGCAGGAGAGTTCCTTTTTATTCACACCCTCACCAACATTTGTTGTTGCTAGTTTTTTTTAATATGTGCCATTCTCACTGGTGTAAGATGGTATCTCATGGTAGTTTTGATTTGCATTTCCCTGATTACAAGTGATGTTGAACATTTTGGAAAGAATATTTTTAATTGAAGTAAAAAATTGGCATATAATTTCCAGAATAACTTGGCAACATTTGTTTGAAATGAAAATTTAGATCACAGTTTTATTCAATTAACTGTTCAGAGGTATATATACAAGGTCATATATTGTAGCACTGTTAATCATATGAAACACCAATAGCAATCAATAAGGTTAAATAGATTATCCAAATGATAGGCTAGAGTAAAAATGCTAAAAATATGATGAGATCAGCAATGGATGCTTGCTTAATTGAAAAAAGAATTATTTATTCATTTTTAATATTTATTTTTATTTTCTTACATCAGGGGTTATCTTTCTATACTTATTGTTTCCCTTAGGTGTAGTGTTCCCACCAATAATCCACCCATGTACCATCAGCGGGCTACCCATATCTACCTCTTGACTCTGATCACTCCCACTTGTCCCTTTCTGCAAGATGTAGATGGATGTTGGGCCCATGGGATTTGTCTTTTTCCTGGAACCATGTCCTTTTCCAAGGTAAAGACCTGGACTCCTGGACTGCAGTGGACCAGGCTGCTCAGATCCCCAGGAGCAATCAATCCCCTGTGAGGCAGGTAGCAAGGTAGTGGCGTTCAGGAACCTCTTGTAGGCCAGGTGTGTGGAGTGGTTCTCTGGACTCCTTGATTTTGGAAACTTCCTGTGGTATGGGAGAACTGTCTGTTTTTTCCAGACTGGTGTGGTCTCTGGGTTCTGTGCCTCCTCATCCACACAGATTGTAGTATCCATTCAGGGGATTGTCACATGACACTGCTTCTGAGTCTTATAATTCTGGCGTTGGGGAACCGTGCTCCCCACCAATGTCAGTGGAGAAGTTCCCTGGTGGGGACAGATTCTAGTAGGTGGTCAGTCCACCTTTTATCATCTCCTTTCGTGGTTTCCGGTCCTATCCTTGGTTCCCAGTCACATCTCTGATATTTTCCTCCCCCAGTTTGGAATGGAGGAAGCCTCATGCATATTGCACACATCCCTGGCCCAGAGGTTTGGTTCCCTAGGCCCTGGAGATGTAGGTGGAGCTCCTGAGAGAGGTCGCCACACCAGCTGATCTCATGGTCCTATCTCTGGTGGATCCGACAGTGCTCTGTTTGGGTCCACCCGGGTGATGAGTATATCCAGGGATTTGATCTGTCCATCTTGTCAACTGAAAGTCTGTAGCAGGAGTGTCTGTGTCAGGAGTGTCACGGCATTACAGGTGTCTTGCACCAATATGATTAAAGTGGGAATCAGAAAGGAGGGGACCCGCCCTCCACTTTCCCACCAACTTGGGCCACTCTACCCTGACTCCCAGGCTTAGGCCTGGAGTTGGGGGTGTGTTGGGGCCCCTGCCCGAGACCCAGGATGGTGGGGTGCCTGGCTTGTACCTCTAGCCCTATTGGGACTAGGGTCAGGCACAACCACGTGGAGGCTGAGCCTTCTATTCCCCTCCCCCCTGTGGGAGACCCCATGCAGAGGTGGCCCAGCCCCCACTCCCAGCTCACATGGAGATGGAGGCCCACTCCCCCAGCCCAAGACCCCAAGACCCCAGTGGCACAGGACTCACCCTGCCCCTAACCCTGCCTGTTGCCTAGGCCCCGTGCTGGGTGTTCTGGGGTCCCCTACTGAGACCCAGGCTGGTGGGGCTCAGGGCTTGTGCCACCCACCTGACTGGGCTTAATTGAAAAGAGATTAAATGGAAAATCATAAAAAATTCTGTATATATACTCTAAATACAGTATTTTCACATAAACAAAATGTAGAATTGTTCATCAATTTTTTGATATTAAGACAAGGCCTCTTCTTCGAATAAGGGTTTGCTGACTAAAGTTGTATTATGTTGTCTGCATAAGCCACACTTACAAAGTCTCTGTTCTCCTACC